ACCCCTACTGGCTATTGCCCAACTCTGGCCAAGAAATGCTCCTAGGCTCTTGCAGTTGGATGGGGAGCCTGATCGTGAGTGTACTCGGCATAGACAGTAATTTCCGGGCCAGTGGATTTTCTCAAGTTCAAATCCATCAATCCCACATGATTCCAAATGCAAGGCCTGGGTGGGGGTGCTGTGGGGTACATTTCCTGGAGCCATCGTCCCCTCTCAATCCCTACCACCATGTCCGGGAAGTGCCCACGTAGTCCATGAACTCTGCCTCAGCCATGTCTGGAGAATCCTGGAACCATAGGCAAGTGTCCCCAGGACAGGAGACTGTCTGGCTCACCAGTGGGGTCCAAAAGGGAAAAAAGTAAGTAAAAACAAATGCAAAACACAGGGAAAAACAATTAGTTAACTAGAGCAAATGCAATGAAAGAGACCCAGAAAAGGTTCTTCCCTTTATGGGGGGAATACAATTAGTAAGGATGGCACCACGACAGAGCTCTCAGGGTTGTCTGGGCCCAGCCCACTTCAGCAGTCCTACTATGACCTGTCAACTGATGTGCAGAGGGAGACAGGCTGAGTGAACAGGAGTTACATCTGTAATGGACCATTCTTTTCTTTCTTCTTTTTTTTTGTAAGGTGCATGTGCTCGTCAAAAAGAGACAGAGAAAGAAAGAGAGGAGAGAGACAGAAAGAGAGAAAGGGGAAGTGAGAAATCACTCCCCACCCCCCACCCCAGCCAAGCGGGAGGATGGCCACACCACAATCCCTTCTCCTCCATTCTCATCTCGGATTTTGAGCATGCACACTCAAGTGCCCAGCATGTTTTTCAAACTGCCAGGGCAAGACCTGAACTGCATAACTGGCCATGTGGGATCCAGCCACCTTAAGCACCACACCACCTGTTGGTCCAGCCACTGATTTTTCAAGACTAGAGAAACCCCTTCTAAAGGAAGAAGATCCTCCAGGGACTGGCACGTTATCGGCAAGTACTGATCAGTATGGAGTGCTGAAGTTCATCAGACTAGAAAAAAGTCCAAGACAGAGAGGACACGCTGGCAAGAAGGATCTCCCCAGCACCCTGGGTACACAACCTTTGGGAGAAATTAGAGAACACCCAACCAAGGCCCTTGTTCACAACAAGCAAACGGTGCTGGTGATGTCCTAGAGCTGACTTTCCCAATTATGTACGTTTCTTCAGAGCCCTGAAGTGATAATGACGTAATAAGCAAAACATAGAGCCCTTTCTTGATGATAAACACATGAAACATACTTACACCGAGGCTCAAAGAAATCCCCTAGATTCAGTAATAGTCCCTAAGAAATGCTCACTAATGCTAAATGCCCCAGGTGTCGAAGGCCCTCCCAGGACCCCCAGTGCCTGGCTGCAGGCTCACCACTGTGACTCAGCCCCTGCCAGACTCCCTCTCCACATTGTTCCCCCCTCTCCCCATTCTTCCTCCCCCCGTTTTTGCTTTCTACTTGGTCAACGGAGCTCACCCAAGTCTGACTCCAAACCTTAACCTGTGGCCTGCCCTCCAGGCCTAGCACAAAGCATTCACCTTTGAGCCTGTGAGATTTAACACTGGACTTTTTCTTGCCTTTCCCCCCACCCCTTGATTTATTTGTATTAAAAAAAAAATGCCAGAGGGGTGTGTTTACCAGAGACAGAGAGGGGGAGAGAGAGAAAGCACCCCCCAATGGGGTATGGCCACACTGCAACCCCTTCTCCTCTATTTCTCCAGCTTGTTGGGAGTTGGGGTACACACACACACACACACACACACACACACACACACAGTGTGTTTTTCAAGAGGGTGGGGCTAGGACTCAAACTGCGTGGTTGGCCTGTGGGATCCCTTAACCGCCAGACCACAGGCTGGTCCTCCCCTGACTGATAAATGTGTAGCTGCCATGCGCTTTCACTTCTTCTCCTTGGCACGAGCACCCTCCTTTGGTTTTCTTGCTGTCACACTCTCTTAAGCCCAGGGGAGGTCTTCATCTCTCCTCACACTGACTTTGGTTTACTTTGTCGCCCCTCAAAAGCTCTCACTGGCTGAAAACCACTTTGCCAGCATTCTTCTAGAAATCAGCACCAAAACCTCGAATGCTTCTCCCAGCTGCCTGCACTCCAGGAAGAGGTCCATCTGGCCACCATATCTGAAGTTCTCTCGCTTTTATTCCCCGTGTTTGGTGAAGAGGACCTGGAAGGGTGTGCACATGCTATTCATTCACTGCACGTGTTGTTGAACCGCTGTACAGGACAAGTGGAGACCGACTCATGTGAAAAGTGAGTGAGGGCCCGCCATGGTGGTCACTGGTTCTATAGGCGAGCTGGATCCCACATGGCTGACTCTGCAGTTTCAGTCCCAGACCCAGAGACTTGAAAAACACACTAGGTATGTATGTGGGGGGGTGCCCCAAATGCCAAAATGGAGAAGAAGGAATTGAGGCATGACCGTTTCCCAATTGTGGACTGACCCACCTCCCCATGGAGAGTGCTTTTTTATTTTCCTTCTCTCTCTCTCCCTCTCTCTCTGTCTCTCACTAGGCAGCTCATATACCTTCTGATAAATTTAAAAAAAAAGAAAGAAAGAAAGGAAAGGAAAGGAAAGTGAGTGAAACAAGGGGTAATTTGTTTTCTTTTTTTCTTTTTAGGTTTTTGCCATAGGAGACATGCACTTACCAGAGAGAGACAGAGGGAAACAGTGAGAGGGAAAGTGAGAAATCACCCCTCAGGAGGATGGCCATGCCACAATCCCTTCTGCCTTATTCTCCTCCTGGGATTTTGGGCATGCACACGCATGTACCCAGAGTGAGTTTTAAGCTGGTGGGGCCTAGGACTTGAACCACAGTTGGCTACGTGGGAGTCCACAGTGCCTTAACCACCATGCCACCTGCTGGGCCCCAAAGGGTGATTCTTACTCCCACTCTTCTTTAGTCCTGAGAAGGAGAATGTATGGAGTAAAATCCCCAGTGTGCTCAGCAGGGAGACGCGCTCTAGGACACTCACGGTGCGTCTCTTCCTAGTTACGGTGGCTTAGATTCCTATTTACCACATCACGTGGGCAAACAGATGAGCTCACAGTGCTTGCGAATATGTGGAAGATAAACACATTTGTTACACGAGCAGCAGGCACCATGCTGGGAAGCTCACTGATACCCTCCTAGAAAACAAGGCTAATACACAGGTAGTGTAGGAAGCAAAGCAAAAAGAATCATGGAACTGGTCATTTAACTGAAAAATGCAGATGCCACAGTGATAACTGATAGCAGACACAACTAACAGAAGTATCAGGCAACAGCCAGCACCACAGCGCAGTGGAAATGTGCAGCTCAAGAGAAGCCATGACAACCACAGTTCGGATCCCCGGCCTGGTTGGCCAGGAATGCGCACAAGTGCCCAAGAAGAGCTGGGAGACTTAAGGATGGGGGTTGTGACAGGATCGTCCTGTGGAGGGTGCTTCTCTCTCTCTCTCTGTCCTATAGCAAATATCTCTTTCAAAAAAAAAAAGAAAAAAAGTTGAAACATTTGAGTTTTAGGTGTTCAAAACAAATAGATAGCAATTGAAGAAAATAGTTGTCTGATACAAAGAATAAAAGGTCAAATTGTAAAAATATCAATGTGATAAAAATGATTACTAAACATATCTGGATTATAGAAGCCATTGGCTTAAATTTTACATTTATGATTTAATTTCAAATGGGAAAACCTGGATTGAATTTGGCCACATCATCTGCACAGGAATTTCCATAACATGGCAGCTCGGCCTGTCTCGTCCATAGTTACTGACAGCTCGTACTTAGCTCCTGCCTCATTCATCCATGGTGAAAACAGTGACTGCTAGATTTACTTAGAGGTCCAAGTGAAAAGACCAATAGCAAAAAGGAATTATTGTATCTATTTAGACAGGTCCCTTATTTCAAAAAATATGGAATTTTCTCAATACATACACCAACTTTGAAAATGGCCCCACTCAAATCCAGCCACAGAAAGCTTCTTCGAACACTCAGTGCTGAATTAGCATTCGGAGAATGCAGGGAGGGAAAGGAAGACACTTCTGCCCTCCCTGCCCCAAGCCCTGGAGCTCTGAGCACAAATTAAATGATCAATATCAACACGTTAGTGGAATATTGGTGGCCTGTCCGCAGACACGCTCCCTTCCACACTGTTCATAGCACGAGACTCGATGCCATGCTAAAAGGGAAAACCACAAAGGCCTTGCTCTATTTACTTTGAGATTCTCGTTAAGTGAGTAAACACTGGCTGTCATATGAATACCATCGATGGCTTCGGCTGGTCTTCTGGCTCCACCGTTCATTGCTGCTCCTCATGCAACCTGTGGCAACTTCGGGTACACAACGTGTTTATGGCGTGTCCTGTAATTTACGCAACTGGATTCCACAGGTGCCATTCGATGGTGATGCCAGGTAAGCAAAACTGTTTCAAAGCCAAAGGTTTTAAAATTTGTGCAGTGTGACTGTGGGTTAAATGGTAGGCCAGTCACTGTCACTGTAACATAGCTTTGTTGTTCCAGGAAAAGAATGCGACACCAACAAGAGTATTCAGTCCTGTCTTTGAATAAGATAACATAATGATGTCCTGAAACAGAGGAATGTTAATAAAGAAAACAACCTGTGGTTTGTTCTCACTGCTAATCAGTATTAATTCCACACAACAGCCCAATTTTTATCCTTAGGGTTACACGAGTGGGTACAACTTTGGCACACACTTTGTCAGTCTTCCTGAAGGTGATTCCTAGGTCCAAGCATCTCTCGTTCAACTTACTCCCTCTCTGACTCCAAGAATCAGAGACACGAAACTGCAGTTCCCAGGGACAGCATGTGTTACTGTCTCGAGTAGGAGCACGAACTACAGTCCTTGAAACTTCATGGGAAGTACTTGGAAGTGACTGGAGAAATCCCTTATCCCAATAAAAATACATAAATCAGTGAGGAAGAAAACGGAACGGTCAGGTAGAGATTGAAATGCCTGGCGGCAGCCTTACCTATCAGGGTGTGGAAGACGGCGGCGATGGCACCGGCCACCACCATGCACAGGACGGCTTTGGTCCTGTCACGCTTGCTGTTCACAAACACCAGGCCCACGTTCTTAAAGTCACTCATGGGACCCGTGAAGAACTTCATCAGTGAATACGCCAGCCCGTAGCTGGCCAGCATTTCGACTGCATCTTCTTTGACAGCAGCAATGCCCCGGTTCAAGGCCTGTGAACAGGAAAGGACACGGCGTTAGAAATGGCGTCTCATCTCTGGGGAACCACAATTCTAAAATAAAATGCAGCAGGAACTCGGTTTCTATGGAAACACTAAGCAGCTTATGGGGTAAATCGCACTGTACTTTCATAAGGGTTATTGGTTAGCATGTCCATTCATATTGGCTTCAGTTTGAGTATCTTCTTGTAGGAGAAATACCTGTCTATTAGGGTTAAAGTATTAGTGAAAAAAAAGTATTTTATATTGGTACTAGAAAATAAGTATAGGAAGTTTTGGCTAAAAGTTGATTAGACAAACAAAAAAACCTGACATATTAAATTTTATTTGTAGACTGCATCTATGTATGTAACAGCAACAGGCATTCTGGAAACCAGTTGACCAGTTTCTATGGGGTGGGTGATGGTCTCTTTTTTCCTTCGATGAAGGTGTGTCTTGTGTGTGTGTGTTTGTGTATACACATGTGCACACATAACCTTACATTTTGCATACGTGTTATGTACGTATCCTTCATAACACACAGCTGTATGCTATGACAAAAGGTACCATCGATGAGTGCTGTTCACCGTATTTTAACTTGAATAGCATTCCTGAGCTTCACGCACACACTGTGGAAAGATCCCCTGTAGACTAAAGATAATGTTTTTATTGTATTGCTCTGAAAGCTGCAGTCCTAGAATATTCTGACTACTTTAACCCCCACTCCACAAGAAACTTAGACATGAAGGTTCATGGAAATGGCATTCGCAAACTAACTCCCCATCTAGTAGACAAATAAGTCACAGTTGGAGATGGTGGGAATGGCTGTGTAGGTGGAGAGACATTCACTGCTGCAGCCTCTAGACCGCCATCTTTGTTATTAGGAATAGGTAACTAAGCAGGAGACTCAGCTGCTCTTAAATTTTTAAAAATTGACTTCATTGCTTAGAGCAGTTTTAGGTTCAGAGTAAAACTGAGCAGAAACAGAGAATTCCTTTTTACTCTCTGGCCCTGCAAACATATAGCCACCCCTAGCCCCCAACACCGCACACCACAGTGGTACAGCTATTATAATCACTGAACCTGCATTGGCACATCGTTATCACCCGAAGCCAACAGCTAATAAGAGCTCACTTCTGGCATCATACGTTCTTTTCTATTATTGTAATTTTTTAAATAGTTCTTGCTATAGGAGGCATGCACTCTCCAGAGAGACATACAGAATGAAAATAAGAGACACACAGTGAGAGGGAAAGTGAGAAACCACCCCCTAGGGGGTATGGCCACACCACAATCCCTTCTCCTCCAACCTCCTCCTGCTGGGATTTTGGGCACGCACGCACACATGCCGACATGATTTTCAAGCCGCTGGGTCCAGGACTTGAACCACACGGTCAGCCAGGTGGGATCCAGCCCTTAGCCTCCATGCCACCTGCTGGTCCAATGCTATACATTCTGTGGGTTTTGACAAATGTCGAATGGCATGAGTCCACCATCACACAGTCACATTTTAAACAACGATATGCTCCAGTCTTCGCCTGCCATGTGCCATGCATCGAAGGGACACACAGTCATGTTTATCACACTGACACTCAGTCTCTGCCACATAAACTCAAAGCAGGACGAATGAAGGAAATGCATTTTTCTGTCTAGTCCTTATTTCCATTAATCAGGTAGGTGTCGATTTTCTCTACAAACACATGCCTGTACCTCTATTCCGAGTGCTCTCTTGCTCTACTCCTGATCTGCTCAATACTAAGTGAGCAAAGGCTGAATACAGCAAACGAGTTCAAGAATTAATCTTCGAATCCATCATATGTAAAAAATCACACTCCTCTTTGTAACAAAACAAATAATACCTCGCTTCATCTACTCTGAGACACCATCCACTGTACGGTATGTCGTCAGTTCATACATCGCCAGGAAAGCAAACACGCTCGCAATGATAACTGGAAGCCACCAGGATGCACCCGGATCTCACAGCTGCTGATATGCAAGCTGGTGGGCGGAGTGTGCACCTCAGAAGCTGTGAACTGCCGTATTTCATGTTGCACCTCACGGTATTCCTTAGTTTCAAAGGCTGAGCTAAGCTTTGGTCCCTGAACACGACAGTGTTGAGCTACACCAGGCACAAGCTCAGGCAGAAAGTCAGCAAAATTCCTTTACTTCGTTTCCTTCCTTTTCCTAGGAGATACGACTGATGGCTACAAAGAAAACTTACAGAACTGAACGGTCTTTGCAAAACACAGGGGAAAATGTATTGATGGGAAAACAGCAATGTGTAAAATAGTTTTAGAAAAACCTAGGATAAAAATGCATGAAGACTGCAGGAATTCATTAGCATTCTTCTGACAAAGCTGGAATTATATAAGCTAGTTTGGGATCATTGTTTCCAATTATATCTCCATTTTTCCTCCTTTTTCCAATAATAACCCGGAAATGTCCACAAGAACACTCATAGCCTCCACAGAGCACACCTGACACGGCGCCTTTCTTTTTAGAACTATTTTATTTAACTTTATTTATTTACTTATTTTTAATTAGACTAGACAGGGACAGAGAGAGCAAGAGAGAGAGAGAGAGAAAGAGAGTGAGAAAGTGAGAAAGCAAGCCACCACCAGGTCCGGGACTCAAACTGGAAGTGACTGGAGAAATCCCTTATCCCAATAAAAATACATAAATCAGTGAGGAAGAAAACGGAACGGTCAGGTAGAGATTGAAATGCCTGGCGGCAGCCTTACCTATCAGGGTGTGGAAGACGGCGGCGATGGCACCGGCCACCACCATGCACAGGACGGCTTTGGTCCTGTCACGCTTGCTGTTCACAAACACCAGGCCCACGTTCTTAAAGTCACTCATGGGACCCGTGAAGAACTTCATCAGTGAATACGCCAGCCCGTAGCTGGCCAGCATTTCGACTGCATCTTCTTTGACAGCAGCAATGCCCCGGTTCAAGGCCTGTGAACAGGAAAGGACACGGCGTTAGAAATGGCGTCTCATCTCTGGGGAACCACAATTCTAAAATAAAATGCAGCAGGAACTCGGTTTCTATGGAAACACTAAGCAGCTTATGGGGTAAATCGCACTGTACTTTCATAAGGGTTATTGGTTAGCATGTCCATTCATATTGGCTTCAGTTTGAGTATCTTCTTGTAGGAGAAATACCTGTCTATTAGGGTTAAAGTATTAGTGAAAAAAAAGTATTTTATATTGGTACTAGAAAATAAGTATAGGAAGTTTTGGCTAAAAGTTGATTAGACAAACAAAAAAACCTGACATATTAAATTTTATTTGTAGACTGCATCTATGTATGTAACAGCAACAGGCATTCTGGAAACCAGTTGACCAGTTTCTATGGGGTGGGTGATGGTCTCTTTTTTCCTTCGATGAAGGTGTGTCTTGTGTGTGTGTGTTTGTGTATACACATGTGCACACATAACCTTACATTTTGCATACGTGTTATGTACGTATCCTTCATAACACACAGCTGTATGCTATGACAAAAGGTACCATCGATGAGTGCTGTTCACCGTATTTTAACTTGAATAGCATTCCTGAGCTTCACGCACACACTGTGGAAAGATCCCCTGTAGACTAAAGATAATGTTTTTATTGTATTGCTCTGAAAGCTGCAGTCCTAGAATATTCTGACTACTTTAACCCCCACTCCACAAGAAACTTAGACATGAAGGTTCATGGAAATGGCATTCGCAAACTAACTCCCCATCTAGTAGACAAATAAGTCACAGTTGGAGATGGTGGGAATGGCTGTGTAGGTGGAGAGACATTCACTGCTGCAGCCTCTAGACCGCCATCTTTGTTATTAGGAATAGGTAACTAAGCAGGAGACTCAGCTGCTCTTAAATTTTTAAAAATTGACTTCATTGCTTAGAGCAGTTTTAGGTTCAGAGTAAAACTGAGCAGAAACAGAGAATTCCTTTTTACTCTCTGGCCCTGCAAACATATAGCCACCCCTAGCCCCCAACACCGCACACCACAGTGGTACAGCTATTATAATCACTGAACCTGCATTGGCACATCGTTATCACCCGAAGCCAACAGCTAATAAGAGCTCACTTCTGGCATCATACGTTCTTTTCTATTATTGTAATTTTTTAAATAGTTCTTGCTATAGGAGGCATGCACTCTCCAGAGAGACATACAGAATGAAAATAAGAGACACACAGTGAGAGGGAAAGTGAGAAACCACCCCCTAGGGGGTATGGCCACACCACAATCCCTTCTCCTCCAACCTCCTCCTGCTGGGATTTTGGGCACGCACGCACACATGCCGACATGATTTTCAAGCCGCTGGGTCCAGGACTTGAACCACACGGTCAGCCAGGTGGGATCCAGCCCTTAGCCTCCATGCCACCTGCTGGTCCAATGCTATACATTCTGTGGGTTTTGACAAATGTCGAATGGCATGAGTCCACCATCACACAGTCACATTTTAAACAACGATATGCTCCAGTCTTCGCCTGCCATGTGCCATGCATCGAAGGGACACACAGTCATGTTTATCACACTGACACTCAGTCTCTGCCACATAAACTCAAAGCAGGACGAATGAAGGAAATGCATTTTTCTGTCTAGTCCTTATTTCCATTAATCAGGTAGGTGTCGATTTTCTCTACAAACACATGCCTGTACCTCTATTCCGAGTGCTCTCTTGCTCTACTCCTGATCTGCTCAATACTAAGTGAGCAAAGGCTGAATACAGCAAACGAGTTCAAGAATTAATCTTCGAATCCATCATATGTAAAAAATCACACTCCTCTTTGTAACAAAACAAATAATACCTCGCTTCATCTACTCTGAGACACCATCCACTGTACGGTATGTCGTCAGTTCATACATCGCCAGGAAAGCAAACACGCTCGCAATGATAACTGGAAGCCACCAGGATGCACCCGGATCTCACAGCTGCTGATATGCAAGCTGGTGGGCGGAGTGTGCACCTCAGAAGCTGTGAACTGCCGTATTTCATGTTGCACCTCACGGTATTCCTTAGTTTCAAAGGCTGAGCTAAGCTTTGGTCCCTGAACACGACAGTGTTGAGCTACACCAGGCACAAGCTCAGGCAGAAAGTCAGCAAAATTCCTTTACTTCGTTTCCTTCCTTTTCCTAGGAGATACGACTGATGGCTACAAAGAAAACTTACAGAACTGAACGGTCTTTGCAAAACACAGGGGAAAATGTATTGATGGGAAAACAGCAATGTGTAAAATAGTTTTAGAAAAACCTAGGATAAAAATGCATGAAGACTGCAGGAATTCATTAGCATTCTTCTGACAAAGCTGGAATTATATAAGCTAGTTTGGGATCATTGTTTCCAATTATATCTCCATTTTTCCTCCTTTTTCCAATAATAACCCGGAAATGTCCACAAGAACACTCATAGCCTCCACAGAGCACACCTGACACGGCGCCTTTCTTTTTAGAACTATTTTATTTAACTTTATTTATTTACTTATTTTTAATTAGACTAGACAGGGACAGAGAGAGCAAGAGAGAGAGAGAGAGAAAGAGAGAGAGAAAGTGAGAAAGCAAGCCACCAGGTCCGGGACTCAAACCGCAGCTGGCCACGTGGGAGTCCAGTGCCCTTAATCACCACGCCACCTGCTGGCCCCATGTTACCTTTCTTAGAAACAAATCTTCCCATTTACCAAAGCTGACCAAATAGTTTAATATCCTAAAGCCAAACAAAACCCAGGAAGCTCCTTGATCATAAGTCCTGTGGTCAACAGGCATGTCCAGTCAAAGGGCTGCTGCTATGTGTTAAATTCCACCACTTGAGGGACCAGCAGTTGGCATAATGGCTATGTTGCTGAACTCCCATGTAGTCGACTGCAGTTCGAGTCCCAGACCCGGTGGCTTAAACTCACGCCAGGCGCGTGTGTGTGCGTGCCCAAGATCCTGAGAGGAGAACGGAGGAGAAGGGATTGTGGTGTGGCCACCCACCCTGGGGGGTGACTTCTCACTTTCTGTCTCTCTGTCTCTATCTTTTAGGCTAGTGCAGGTGCCCTACAGAAAAACAAAAAAGAAAAAAACAAACAAACAAAAAAACTCCTCCCCCCCCAAAAAAAAGTTCCACCACTCAGTAATTTATCAGATTAATTCCTTTCGGACTTCTGTAGTGGATGCTGCTGTTAGTGCCCCACCAAATCCCTTGTAAGGGCACTGCACCATCCCAGCAGCTGGGCATTGGCCACCTGTGGCTTGCAGCTGCCACTTTCTCAGAGAGAGGTACCCCCCCTTTACCTGCCCTTGCCCCCATTCCTCCTGGCAGCACAAAGCCAATGAAAACATAAAAGATCAGCCCCCCGTCTCCACCTGGGACCACATTGGTACCGTTATATCGCTCTGGAAAGCCCTGTGGGGCCACATCCTTGCGGAACTTCTCCCCTCCGCCCTTCCCTGCCCTTCTCCCCCAGAGTGTGGACTCAATAAATCACAAAGCACAGGAGCCACGCACACGGGCTGTGCTTTCAGCGTCTTTGCAATAAATCACAAAGCACAGGAGCCACGCACACGGGCTGTGCTTTTAGCTTCTTTGCAAATTCAGCTCAACTTAGGATGCTTCTAATCACTTGTCTCCCAGACATGGAAAACGGTGGGTGGTTTGTTCTCTTTCTTTCCCACCCTTCCCCCAAATTGACAACAGTGAGTTGTTTACTTATTTCCTGTTGCTCAAATGTGTGTTAAAATATAAATGATACACATATATATTATTTAGCGCAAGTTTAAAAAGCATCCAGTAGGGCACCTAAATAATGCAGGACTACACTTTTCACATGTCTTCTTGGCAAAAGTTTATTTATTTTTTGCTAAAAAGACATTAGCTCTGGCTAGGGCCTCCACTGCAATGTTTTCCCTTTCTACCGACAGTTCTTAGATTATTTTAAAACGTTTCTTTATTTCTCTCTTGTGTGAGCAAAAGAGACAGAGAAAAGAGAGAGGGAAAAGGGGGGAGGACAGTGTTCCTGTTGCCGCCATCTACCCCAGCCTCAGCCAGCCCCAGCTCACGGTAGGTGTATGCCCAGCAAGCTCAGGGAGACCTTCGGACACAAACTCAGAATCTCCCCATGTGGGTCAACCTTGCAGAGAGTGGCATTTCACCTCTGTGCCACTGTGCATTCACATCAGTTCTTTGACTTGAGTCTTAAACCCAGTGCTGAGGCAGGTGGGAAGAAGGTGGCACCGGTAATGACAGTTCTGCCAGCACGCCGAGGGAGAGTGTTCATTTAGCTCAGCAATGAGCAATTACGGTAACCTGAGGACAATGCACAGGGTTTAGAGTCTGTAGGCTTGAGCTGGAATCTCTTCTATGACTAACTGCTGAGAGGCCTCGGCCAAGGTAAAATGTACCTATTCTCCCTAAAACTCCCAACCCATCTTAGACAGAATTTGGGGGACTGTGTGAAGGGTGCCAAGTAGCAACGGTCTAAAGAGGCACTTAAGACAGGATCCGTGTTTATTTCATTTGCTGCCACTTTACCACCGTGGCGACACTGTAAACACACCAGTATTTGCTGAATGAATGATGGGTGAAAAAAATGGAATGGATAAGTAAGACGAATGGATGGATGGATGACCGGTTTTGTTACCAAGAAGTTTCATCTTCATACTGATTTCGTAAACTTTCAAAAGAAAAAATACATAATCATTTTAATCCTAAGAGGTCATTCTTTGCAATTGATTTAATTTTCCATGATCGGATTCATGTACACATATGAAAATATATCCTGATTTCAAGAGACATTAAATGCAAGAAAAAACTTCAGGCTTGAGGCCCCTTGCTACACAGACGTTATCAGCCTCTCTGTATTTCCATTCGTGACGCAGCAAGTGCTCCCCCAGTTCGTTCGCGTCTTCATTCCATATGCTTTCCTTTCTGTGCTACAATAGGAAGTTACTATGCAGTCTATCAATATTTCACGGAACTTTTCCATGCCTCTGACTTGGCCAGTCCTCCTAACCCACAGAGAAGAGAATTTTGTTCCGATTTATGCTATGGTTTTTATTGTAAGTTATGGAGTAAAATTAATTTCCCCCAGGCAGTTTATGTCTTCAAAACCATTTATTGAATAAATGCTCATTTACTACGACGAGTTTTTTTTTTTTTCATTCATTTCCTTCCGTCACCCCTGGCTTGGTTCATGTCTCTGTGTGCTTACCCTGCAAGTCTTCAGGGCATGTTCACTACCTGACATTATGTGTTCACTTGTTATTTGTTTTATCCTGTCTCCTCTCCCCGAACGCAAGCTCCAGGAAGCAGAGAACTGTGCTTCACCGTTCTGTTCCAGAACTACATGTAGGGCATCGCGTGACAAATCTCAATAAATAGGTGAAAGAACGAAGTAAAATGTACCAAAATGGTATACCAACATCGACTGTGCTAACGTACGAGGAAAAGAAAGACACCCGTGAGCTGGGCCCTCCTTGGCGGAGCTGGTTTAGACTGACAGGGCGACTCCTCTAAGGAGGTGGCCCCGGAGCTGAGACCTGCAGCACGAGAACCCGCAGGTGGATGAAATGTAAAGAGCTGCAGGAAGGCTTGGCGTTTGCTTTTTTCCGTGCACGTGAGAGTGGGTGAGTGAGCGAGAGAGGAGCACCGTCTGTAGATCTGGTCTCACTGCGATTCTCATCCCGCAGCCCTCCCGCCTGTCAGATCCTGGACACTCACACGCATGCCCTGCCTGTTTCAGGCTGACCGGGCTGGGGAGCTGAGCTGGTCACCACGTGGACTCCACCACCTTTGTGCAGTGTGTTAGAACTGTGCCACAGAGTCGGCCAGAACTGGTGTTTGCTAAGGAACAGAAGGGAGGCCAGGAAGAGAAGCAGAGCCGGGTAGGGGTGCGTTTGGCAAAGCAGGCTCTTCCCGGTTTGTGGTGAAGAACGTGTGTCTTATTCTAAAGCAGTGGGAAGCCGTGACGAGGTTGGGAAGAGGCAGTGTGGACGCTGAGGGCAGGGGTGGACCGCAAGGGCAAAGCAGAGCAGGGAGGAGGAGTTTATGGTCTGGGAGGGCGGGGTCTGCACTAGGAGGCACCGAGGAGGCAGACGAGCTGATGGGCTGGCGAGCTTGTTGGAGGCCAGGTGGAAGGACCTGACGCTGGGCTGTGTGGAGAAGGAGGAATGGGGAAACTGCTGAGTATTTGGCTTTGGTCAAGTGCTGCAGTGCTGAGGGAACTTCCGAAAGTCCACGGACATTGGGATTAAAGTATGATTTCATTTGGGTGCAAAATAATTCTGAAATCCTTGCACGGGTTTTTGTAATTTGCATTTTTCATAAACTTCCTTTTCTTGGTGGTTTTTTTTTTTTTTTTTTTTCCCCCATAGGGTGCATGTGCTCACTGGAGAGACAGAGAGAAGAAAGTGAGAAATCAGCCCCTGGGGAGCAGGGGGATGGCCACGCTGCAAACCCTTCTCCTCCAGTCTCCCCTTAAGATTTTGGGCATGCACACACACACGTCCAGCAGGACTCCCGGACTGTCGGTGGTCGGCCACGTGGGAAGTCCAGTGCCTCAATCACCGTGTCTCCTGCGGGCCCCGTGCACTTTTCAAAGACCCTATATTTACAGAAATAAGGGGAGGGGAGGTCTGGGAGGAAGAGCAAGAACTCCCCAGGGAGCCTCTTCCTATGGGGCCCGAGGCGCCCTGAGAATTCTGAATGGAGGAGGCGAGGACGGCGGCTGGGCCCGGGAGGCGGGGGCCAGGGGGGCGGGGCCCCATGAGCTGGCGTCCAGGGAGCTGTCGGGGCTGCCACTGCACATTTGGAGGTGGTCGGCATTCAGACAGTATTTAAAGCCAGGGATTAACGGGATCATCCTTTCTGAGAGCCCAAGACTCAGCCCAGAACACTCTAGGAGTCCATCTGAAGACGGTCCGGGTGCAGCCGGCCTCCCCCGATACTGTGAACATGCCGTAGCTCGGGGCTCACCAGCTACCTGCTGCGCCTCTGCAGTCACTCCCCAACGTGGCTGCATGTCTAGCCCCGACCAGAAATGACAGCGCTGTGGCTGGTAAAGAGGACAGCTGTGCTCTTGAAATTCAGCTAAAATCACACCCGGGATGTCTCTGGAATGAATTCGGCCTTCAGGCAGGATTCTGGCTCCAGATGTTCATGAACACAGAGGCTCACCTGCTGACAAAGTTTCTAAACACACACAGGCCTTGCAAAGCCAGTGCACTTAACTTTGGATAAGCCAACCCTGACAACACTCTGACAACTGTGAACACCAAGCCACCCTCTCATCACAGCCTGATCTGCACGCAGGTGGCACAGCAAGGGGCCCTTCTCACATTTCAGATCTCTGTGCCAGGGGTGGGCAGCAACACGAACGTCCGACTTACAAGAGTATCTGCTTCCAGGCAGCCCTGAGCGGGTCACTCATGCCTCGCTGTCTCCCCATATCTGCCAGGTTCACGGTGTTCTGTTGCCTGATCTTTCTTTCTTTTTGTCCACAGTAAGTTAGCAAAACCACAGGATATTAAAAAGTAAAAAAAAAAAAAAATCCCTCTAGAGAAATGGCTACCAAACCCCCGGGTATAAACTGATCCCTGTGGAATGAGCTGCCTAGATCGTTAAATCCTAAGACAGAGGCTCACCTGCTGACAAAGTTTCTAAACACACACAGGCCTTGCAAAGCCAGTGCACTTAACTTTGGATAAGCCAACCCTGACAACACTCTGACAACTGTGAACACCAAGCCACCGTCTCATCACAGCCTGATCTGCACGCAGGTGGCACAGCAAGGGGCCCTTCTCACATTTCAGATCTCTGTGCCAGGGGCGGGCAGCAACACGAACGTCCGACTTACAAGAGTATCTGCTTCCAGGCAGCCCTGAGCGGGTCACTCATGCCTCGCTGTCTCCCCATATCTGCCAGGTTCACGGTGTTCTGTTGCCTGATCTTTCTTTCTTTTTGTCCACAGTAAGTTAGCAAAACCACAGGATATTAAAAAGTAAAAAAAAAAAAAATCCCTCTAGAGAAATGGCTACCAAACCCCCGGGTATAAACTGATCCCTGTGGAATGAGCTGCCTAGATCGTTAAATCCTAAGAGAGGCCCTGGCATTTTAAACCTAGGATCTACAGACTAGAAAAATCTCTATATTACAGACTGAGATGCTTCAGGGCAGGAGTCAGCAACTTACCCTCTGTGGGGAGGTCACGTGATGTGTGTTGGCCACAAACATTCCTTGCAAGTGGGGCATGTGGTGCCCGGGGGGCAGGGGGCAGGGGGCCGGGAGGAGGCCCGGGTCCAGGTGGTGACTCCTTGCCCATGCAAGTAGGTCTCACGCCTACACTGCTGAGTTCATCTCATGCCTGGGAAACCTCTGAGGTGCTGAGGTGTGGACGATGATCTTTCTGAACCACACTAGGGCCACGGGGAGAGTAGGACACTAGTCTGGTTCCCCTGGGCCCCCGTATGGGAGACTTCCTTTCATCCTTCTGTGGCTTTACAGCCCTGGCCAAGAGCCCCGGGGTATGCACTCATGGCCAATGCCTCCCTGCCTCTGCCACACTCACCAAAGAGTCACTTCCACCTGAGAATGCCCCCACGCAGCCCTCGGCCGCTGAAACCCCCTGCCCAGATGAAATTCCTGACGTGGTCTGAGAGCTGGCCAGCGTCTGAAAGAGGAGGGCGGGGGACTGAGGGGAGATGCCTTTTGGTGGGATTATGCTTATCTTCTACAAAAAGGCGTCCAGCAGGCTGAGCGGTGGCACGGCGGTAAGACACTCTGCGAAGCTGACCCCCATGTTAAGGTGTGGGTTTCTGTCTGAGTGTGCTGGGCACATGTACACCGAGACCGGATGCAGGCTGAGGCTGGGGGTGGATCGTGGAGTTGAGACTCTGTTGGGGGTGCCGTCGCTCTGCTGCCCTCACTCATAGGAGAAATAAACTTTAAAAAATGTAGAGTTGGAAATGGGTATTATTCCCTAACATATATGAAATTATTAAATGAAATGCCAAAAGTCTTTTTCCATTTATTTCATTTTACCTTTTTTTTTTTTTACTTTTAGTAAGATACATACTTCCTTTGCTTTCCGCCTTCTGGATGAGAGAAACCGCTGAGACCCAAGGGGGAGGAGATCATGTTGTCTTGCTAGGAAACAGCCCAGACTGTCACTGAGTCCCTTTGATAACAGATGACTCTTCTGTCTATAACTTTGACGATCCTATTACACACCTATTATGACTCAAAAGAAACTGACCATCGTAGCAGAGGAAATATCATTTAAAAATACTTCTGAAACTCAGCATCCTCAGAAATTTTGCATTTGTGGAAGGGCAGAAAATTCAGAAGTCCACGTCTTGGCATTGCTACCTGTGGGAACTGCTTCTTCCGATGACTTGGATAATCAGCAATTTTGGATTTCGAGTCTCTCAAGGAGTCTGGGTTCCTGTAATTTTCCACTGTTATTGTTCTGTTTGTATTTTAAAAAGTGGTTTGGGTTAAATTAGATCATTTGTCTTCCCGGTAGTTTTCCAGCCATGTTTTATTTTCTCAAGGATCTATACGGCTCTAAATGAGACACCCTCGCTCTGTTTAGCTGAAGCTCCAGCCAAGAACTTGACACCCACACATGAGGCTGTGGTTTCAAGGGAGTGGCAATCAGAGGAAACCTGGTCTCCAGAGCAGTCGCAGTTACTGCTCTGGGCAGAACTATCCACATTTAGCGCTTCCTGAAAACACCAGACAACACCCGACAGGTCCAAAATATGACACTGGTGTTTGCTGTCACTTCCCACACCTGGAGAAGAGCTTCTAGAAGGGGCAGAGACAAACTGCCATACAGGGTCTGATGAAATTTGGCGAACTCATCTTCTCCTATTGCTTTTTCAATATGTCAGGGGAAATCAAAAGCATTTTCTCATATGACCTCTTACTCTGGAAATATATTTATTCACTAGAATACTTTAGTATCATAGGACTCACCTTAAATCCTCCTGATCTGTCATTGAAACGTGAAGCTTGTTCATCTAGCTAAATCTAACTGGAATTCAAGATGGTGGAACTCTTGACAAGGAAGGAATATTACTATGAAAATTCTAGTATAATTCAAAAAACCAAAGGCTTTAGCTGGTGGCATGGTGGTTGAGGAAGTTGAATCCCACATGGCTGACAATGCAGATCAAGTCCTGGACCTGGTGACTGAGAAACACACGGGCTGCCTTTGTGTGTGTGCCCAAAATCCTAAAGGGAGGAAGGTGGAGGAGAAGGGATTGGGGTGTGACCATCCCCTGGTGTGTAGGGGGCTGCTTTCTCATTTTCCTGCTTTGTGTTTCTCTTTATCCAGTGATGCACATGCCTTCTGGCAAAATTTTAAAAAGCAAACGCTTTCTGTGTCATTTAGGAATCTTGTTCTTCATCTTTTTTTTTCAAGAATTATTTTATTTAACTTTATTTTTAATTTGACCAAAGAGAGACAGACAGAGAGAGAGAGAGGAGAGAGAGAGAGAAAGCCTCCAGGTCTGGGACTCAAACTGCAGTGTGCCATGTTGGGAAGTCCAGCGCCCTTAACCACCACACCACCTGCTGGCCCCATCTTGTTCTCCATCTTGATGTCACATCTTTCCTGAAATTTGCTACTAATTTTTTTTATACTTAAAAGAGCTAGGTTCCCAAATGACAACTCTTGGTTAATATCTCCAGAGCATGCCAACTCCACCTCTGAAGTGAGTTTAACATGTATTTACATTAGAAAGAGAGGAAGAATGGAACCAGCAATTAGCATAAGCGGTATGTCGCTGGACTCCCACGTAGTCGACTGCAGATCGGGTCCCAGACCTGGTGGCTTAAAACTCATGCAGGGCACGTGTGCATGCGTGCCCAAGATCCCGAGAGGAGAATGGAGGAGAAGGGATTGTGGCGTGACCATCCCCTCTGGGGGGTGATTTCTTGCTTTCTGTCTCTATGTCTCTGTCTGTCTGGTGTGCGCACACGCCCTATAGAGAAAACCTCTCCAAAACAAAACAAAACAATAGAAAGAGGAAGAGGGAGAGAGAAGGAAGGACTTTCTATACCCACAGTCTGGAATCGCAGACTAGCTCTGCGACCCTGGGCTGCTAATCCATTTTTTTCTTGAACACTGGTACTTTAACCCGGGCTGTGGGTCTCAAAGCAGCTCAGAAGTGCCAATCTATTTCCTGGCTCAATAGCAACACCTAAATGAGTCGTGTCACCTCCCTTTGACGTTTGTCAACGCACAGCCACGGAGCAAAGGACAAGAGAATGTCCACCCGCGTTTGGACCCTCCGAGGGCCAATGACCAGGAAGACGATGGAAACGTCCTCAGCGGCTGACACTCACTGAGTGACTGCTCTGTGGCAGGCATACTCTCAGGCCTTCCTCCTCCTGGCAGCCCGGAGAGGGTGGTGGCCTCACTTCCCAGCTTACTGGTGAGGTTGCTGGTACAGGGAGAGCCTTGGTCACTCGTCCAGGGTGGAGACAGCTGGAAGAATCAGACTGCTTGACCTCAGAGCTTGTGACCCTACTCCCACTCTCCTATGCCAAAGCCAAATCCTCCTTCCACTTTGAACAAGGTATTCTAAGCAGTGACCAACTCTGCCTCACAGCAGCTCTTTAACCAGAGAGGACTAGCTACCAGCTCCAAGGGAGCCTTTGGATAAAGACAATATTTTATGAAAACTTCCAAAGACGCTGAGGTCAAGATGACCTTTTCAGTGGCACTGTCTAACAGCATCACTGTGTATGCGTGGAGGTTGAGCCGAAGGTGTCTGATGACATCCTCCAAGTGAGCCAGGTGACGAAAACGAGGTAAAAGAAATGGTGCAACTATGTCCTACAGCCAGTGGTCTGCTGCTTGGTGAAGAGTTTGAAACCCATGCATGGCAACCGTGCTGTCTGGCCAAGCTCAGCACCTGCTCCACCATCCCCAGGTGAGGGTGCTAGTGGGTGCTCTATAGCGGGGCCCGCTACGATGCGGACAAGAGGTTTATGAGCTCCTTTCAAGGTCCACAGGCTGATGCCTCCTACCAGCCTTTAACTCATCCAAGCTGCACATTCCCTTCTCAGATGCGGATTCATTTATTTCTGTGGGAGGGTTTAATGAGGACTCACTGTTGGTATTCACACAACTCAGTTTTGGGGATGATTTCTGAAGGTCTGGGACTTGTGATCTGATTGTTTTTAGGAGGTAAGTAATAGAGAGTTAAAACTAGTCATAGGGGCCGACTGCAGTTCAAATCCCAGCCCTGATAGTTCACATGGGTGCATGCCCCAAATTCCAACAGAATGGAGAAATGGAAGAGAAGAGATCGTGGTAGGACCATGCTCCATTAGGGAATATTTTCTTCGTCTCTCTCAATTTCTCTGTCTCTCTCTGGTGAGAGACAAACCCTCTGGCAATTAAAAAAGTCAAACTAGTCATTAAACAAAAGAGGGGCTGAGGGTGGTGCAAAATGTGGTAATGCTCTGCAAGGTGCCCCGCAGAAGGGACTCTGGGTTTGTGTCCGAACACCTCCCTGAGTACGCCGGGCGTGCAGTGCCATGACCTGGGGCTGGCTGACCTGGCAGTAGATGGCACCATCTAGGCCCTGTTGGCGTGTCATCTAGCTGCCATGGAAGGAATAAATCAATAAATCAATAAAGTTAGTCCATACAGCCCATGACTAGTCTTACTAAGCCCACTTTATTAGGAATCAATAACAGCCCATAACAGTAAGGACAGAGAAAAACACGGTGGCACAGAATAAGTGTCACCGGTGTCCCACACACGCGCTCACATACACAAGGCACACACTGAGACAGGAATCCTGCCAAGCAGACAATATGTCATAGCGACAAAGCTGTCTGCAGTGTGTGCCATGCTGGGTGCAAGATTCGTCATAGGTCCTCCTTCCTACACTGCTTACCTCCCCATCTTCCCACTACTGCCGTTGGCTCAAACGATCGACGTAAAGTGTTCTAGGTGAAGTGAATCCACCTCCTGAATTGAGCCGTGTGGAACGCGACATGAGAAAGGATGAAGCATGTCCCCGCAGCACACACAGTTGGCAGAGCCCAGTGGCATGGCTGGGACTTAAGACTTAAATGCCCTGAATTCATCTGATCTTTACAACCGTATCCAGACTTGCGCCTAGCACCTTCTACCTAGAAGAGGGATGTGATAAACCTAAGAAGCTACAGAACGGTGTCAATGAGATTTAAGTGCTCTGAAAATTTCTAGATCAGAGACAGGAAAAAGCACACGTTTTCTGTCACTATCTCAGACGGCGAATACGTGCGGCAATGTGCTCACGTGCTAGGGTTCTTTCTGTAAACCCACAATCACTGCGACTCAGGCCTCCTCTCTGACATCACAGCCAGGTCCAGGACTTGAACCGTGGTCGGCCATGTGGGAGTGTCCAGCACCTTAATCATCCCACCACCTGCTGGTGCCCTCTGTCCAGACATTTAGGTGTGACAATAATTCCTACCAAAGGAAAGTTTATTCCTCTGTCTTGGCTATTGGTCTGGGGAATGCAAGTGCCTTGTAAGAAACGTTCGTCGAGTTGAGAGGAAACTGCTTTGGGGACTTTTCCCTTCGAGCAGGTCAGGGAGCAGGGTCACAACTCCCTAGAGGCAGAGTGAAGGCCTGGTCGCTACCCTGCAGTCTGGGCTAAGAAGTCCTACAGGACAAGCAGCTCCAAAACGCTCCCTGGACTGAGTGTTTCAGGAAGACCCCAACGACAAGACAAGGACTTCAGTGGGGTTGCCTCTCCTCTGCCTTTCAGTTCCAGCACTCAACCACAACGGGCCATGAGTACCTGGAAAAGGCACCATTTAGAGGAAGCATGCCCCGATCGAGGCCCTAATGATTCCAAACAGAGGAAGATTTGGACATTGTCCCCACTACAGGACAGTGACGCCCTCCTTCCACTCCAGAGCAGAACGGCCATGCCCAGCTGGATGCTGTTGATCCTCCACACGTGTGGACTCAGGGTTGTCCTCGGTTTCCCTGCATCTTTCTGACAATCGAAGGCTGAGAACAGACATTAAAACTCCTCCCAAAGTGCCTAAGTCGGGTTGGGTAAGCCTTTGTAAGTCCTGTGAGGTTTCTACACAGAACAAGGGCTACTGCTCACAAGGACCAGTTGAAACCGAAAGAGTTAAAGCATCGTTTAAGAAAATACTAACATAACCGTGTGTTAAGAGAACAACTCAACAAACATCCTATTATACTGGGCCCAGCCGGTGGCATGGTGGTTAAGGGCGCTGGCCTCCCACACGGCCAACCATGGGTCGAGTCCTTGATCTGGTGGCTCTGGTCAAATTAAAATAAATAAAAACAAAGTTAAATAATTTTAAAAAATCCTATTACACTGGGTCAGTAAGTAGTGTGGAGGTTAAGGCAGCTGGATCCCCCTGGCTGACTATGTGGTTCAAGTCCTAGATCCAGAGGCCTAAAAATCACAACGGGCGCCTGTGTGTACATGACCAAAACCCCAAAAAGAGAAGGGAGGGGAAGAGACTGTGGTGTGGCCATCCCCTGTGGGAGAGATATCTCACTTTCTTTTTCTCTGTCTGTGTTTCTCTCTGGCAAGTGCGCATGCCCTATAGCAAAACTAAAACCAAAAAACAAAACAAAACAAAACAAAACTAAACAAAACCAGGGAAACCACTATATGTTTATTAATAAAAGTAATCTACGTTGAAGAAAAAAAGAAAAGTCTCTTTTATGACTTTGTTTCTGATGGCTCTTTCTAGACTGATAAACTTATTAGACTAATAAACTGTCCCCTCCCTCATTATAAAAAAGACAAAACTGTAACATTCATAGGAATAAATTCAATCAGTGTCTCCTAAATGAAGAAAACCATAAAACTGAATTGAAATACATAAAATAAGACCTCGAGAGCCAGCCCGTGGTCTAGTGGTTAAGGGAGCCGGATCCCAAATGGTCAACTGCCGTTGGATTCCTGCCCCCAGCAGCTTGACCATCACGCTGCGTGTGTGCACGTGTACCCAAAATTCGGAC